CCCCCCCCCCCCCGCCAAAAAAAAATTCTCATAGACTTTCCTTTCCCAGGCTGACTTCAAATCACCATCCTCAGATCTCAGCCTCCTGCTAGGAGGAGACATTACAGGCTAGGATTACAGGCATGAGCCACCTGCACCCGGTCTGGATTGTCAAAAGTGGAAATCTATAAGGATTTATCAATGATGGCTAAATGATCAAGAGAAAGAGATAGGATGAGATAGAAGGGCTGGGGTGGTGGGTGGCAGCTCCTGAATTCATTCTGGGGAGGGCTGGTGGGTAGGCAGCATCCTGGTTAGAGATGGTGGGGGCAGGCCTTGCCTCAGGCTGGGAGATGGAGGTGCGAGGAGCAGAGCTTCCTGCTAGTGCCATGGCTGGACAATGGAGGCTTGGCACTACTTCCGTCTCCACTGAGCTTCTGTCAGCCTGCACCCTCCTTGTCATCCTCCTGTAATGGCAGACAGGAAGTAGGGGTGTAGAGAGTACACTCTCTACAGTACAACTGTCCCAGTACAACTGTTTTCCCATGGGTTTCTTGAAGTCTGTTGCTCTTCCTAGATACTGAGTGACTTGAAGACAGAAACTGGAGGTGGAGGGAAGAGAGGAATAGAGGAGTGAATATGATCAAAATATATTATGTGCATGGCTGGGAATATCACAATGAAAGCTCTTTTTGTATGATTAATATGTGCTAACACATATATGTACACATATACATATAAATATAAACTTTTTTTGTGCTTGTACTGGGGCTTGAACTCAGGCCCTCATTCTCTTCCTTTGCTTTATTGTTCAAGCTATGCCTCTCTACCTCTTGAGCCACACCCCCACTTCCAGCTTTTTTGGTGGTTAATTGGAGATAAAGAGTTTCATGGATTTTCCCTACCTGGGCTGACCTTAAACTAGGATCCGCAGATCTCAGCTCCCTGAGCAGTTAGGATTACAATGAGCCACCAGCATCTGGCATAAAAATACTTTGTTTGCTTGTTTGTTTTTGTCCTATGTCCTGGGTGCTGTCCCTGAGCCTCTTTATGCTCAAGGTTAGTGTTCTACCACTTAAGCCACAGCACCATTTCTGGCTTTTTCTGAGTAGTTCATTGGAGATAAGAGTTTCATGGGCTTTCGGACCCAGGCTGGCTTTGAACTGTGATTCTCAGATCTCAGCCTTCTGAGTAGCTAGGATTACAGGCATGGTGCCTAGTATGAGAATACTTTTTAACAAATGTAGAGAGAAACCATTTGTGAAGACAGCTCACTGACACCCAGTTGTGACTTGCCCTCAAGTTTTGGTGATCTGAAAGGTGGATGTCTTGGGGCCCTCCCAGGGGATCCTTGGCCTCTGAGCTGCCCTGTTGTCACCAGGCATGGCCCTGTGGGGCTGCTGCATGTGGATGCCCACACGGATACAGCCGACAAGGCCCTGGGGGAGAAGCTGTACCATGGGACACCCTTCCGCCGCTGTGTGGACGAGGGACTCCTGGATTGTAAGCACGTGGTACAGATTGGCATCCGGGGCCCTTCCATGACCTTGGACCCTTACAGATACAACCGGAGCCAGGTGACATACCAGATATCCCTCCCACTCCCCCCCCTTGCTCCTCCAAAGTGCTGCCTTTTCTATAGTTTCCGCAGGGGTGTTACTGGTCAAGTGCAGAAAGCAAGGGTTGGGGGAGGCCTCCATGGTAGAGCACTTGCCCAGCCTGAGGCCAATCCTGGGCTCCCTCCCTAGCACTGCAGGAAAGCAAAGTTCAGAAAGTGTGAGTGGAAATGGCCATATTAGTGGACAGGCAGACATTAATGAGACAGAGGCAGTAGCCCCCTCTGAAGATGCTGGCTGGAAAGAGAGGAGAAGTCTGAACTAGGTTCAGGAAGGCTAGCGCCTTTATTCTCATCCTCATACTTGCCAGGCAGAAGCCCTTAGGAACATGGCACAAGACCCCCCATGAGAAGATCTCGTCCCTTTATCTGTGCCAATATTGGGGTTTGAACTCAGGGCCTCGCACTTTTTTTGTTCTTCCTGGTCCTGGTCTTGAACTCAGGGTCTGGGCACTGTCCCTGAGCCTCTTGGTGCTCAAGGTTATTGCTCTACCACTGGAGCCACAGCACCATTTCCATTTCTTTTTTGAGTAGTTATTTGGAGATAAGAGTCTGCTGGGGACTTTTCTGCCTGGACTGGCTTCGAACTGTGATCTTCAGATCTCAGCCTCCTAAGTAGCTAAAATTATAGGTGTGAGCCACTGGCACCTGGCTTCACACAGCTTTTTCCTTCAAGGCTAGTGCTCTACCATTTGAACCTTCTCTACTTCGGCTTTTTTGCTGGTTCAGTAGAGATAAGAATCTCTTAGATTTGTCTACTCAAGCTGGCTTCAAACCACCATTCTCAAATCCTAGCCTCCTGATTAGCTAGGATTACAAGTGTGAGCCATGAGTGCCTGATTCCCTGTGGTTTGGTTTTAGAATGCACCAAGGCCTGTGTTCTGGGCAGAGGTAGCTGGAAGATGTTAGCATGAACCACCCAAGTTTCTCACTTTTGGCTTTAGCAAAGCCTCTTTCTGATCCTGACCCCCAAGGATAAGAGAGGTAGCTTTGACCCTTTTTCTTTGCCTTACTTGTAAAATGGAGATCATAATTCCCCCTCATAAAGACTGAGGGTCAGACCCCGGAAGAGCTAAGGTGTGGGGTTGTCCTTGATCTCTAACTCTTCCTCCTCCTCAGGGCTTCCGGGTGGTCCTGGCCGAGGACTGCTGGATGAAGTCTCTGGTCCCTCTGATGGCAGAGGTCAGGAAGCAGATGGGAGGCAAGCCTCTCTACATCAGCTTTGACATAGATGCCCTGGACCCTGCCTATGCCCCAGGAACTGGGACTCCTGAAATTGCCGGTCTCACCCCAAGTCAGGTAAGGAGGCTCCCCTGGGGGAGGTGTCTGGGGGTGGCCATACTTAACTCTCCACTTTGCTGAGACGTGTGGTGAGTCTGCAGGAGCCATGATCATGTTTTTGTGTGGTGGTGAGGAGCCCAGGGCCTCCCAAGGCCTCATGAATGTTAGGTAGTCCTTTATCTCTGCATTCCATCCTCTGCCCAGGCAGGATTTAAAAGGAGAGTACAGGGCTGGGAATGTGGCTTAGTGCTAGAATGCTTGCCTTGCGTGGGAAACCATGTGGCTCACTCAAGTGGTCGAGTGCCAGCCTTGAGCATAAGAAGCTCAGGGGCAGTGCCCAGGCCCTGAGTTCAGGCCCTAGGACTGGTAAAATAAATACATAAATACATAAACAAAAGAAGAGTACTTCCAGGACCTGGTGACTCCTGACTGTGATTCTAGCTACTCAGGAGTTGTAGATCGAGGGTCAGTGCAAAGCCAGTCTAGGCAGCAAAGTCCCTGAAACTCTCGCCTCCAATTAACTACCCAAAAAGCTGGAAGTGGAGCTGTGGATTAAATGGTAGGGTCCTAGCTAACCTTGAGCAAAAAAGCTCAGGGACAGTACCCAGGACCTGAGTTCAAGCCCCAGGACTGGCACAAAAAAAAAAAAAAGAAAGAAGGAAAGAAAGAGTACTGAGGCTTTTGCTGCTCTCAAGGCTGAGGATAGGTGTGGAAGGACTAGTTTTCACAAGCGCTATCATTTTCTTTCTGTGGGAAGTGATATAAGTCCTTTATTTGATCTTTTTTTGCTTCTGGTCCATCTGTAATGAATTCACTGGGACACTACTGTAGTATCCTCATCATAAGAACATTAGCCCGGGGGCTGGGAAGTTGGCTCAGTGGTAGAGCACTTGCCTTGCATGCATGAGGCCCTGGGTTCGATTCCTCAGCACCACATAAGTAAAAAGAAAAAAGCTGGAAGTGGCGCTGTGGCTCAAGTGGTAGAGCGCTAGCCTTGAGCTGAAAGAGCTGAGGAACAGTGCCCAGGCACAGAGTTCAGGTCCCATGACCGGACCCCCAAAAAAAAAAATTAGCCCGGCGCTGGTGGCTCATGCCTGTAATCCTAGCTATTCAGGAGGTTGAGATCTGAGGATCGTGTTTCAAAGCCAGCCCAGGCAGGAAAGTCTGTGAGACTCTTATCTCCCTTAAAACACTAGAAAACATAAGTGATGCTGTGGCTCAAGCGGTAGAGCGCTAGCCTTGAGCTGAAGAGCGCAAGGATAACGCCCAAGCCCAGAGTTCAAGCCCCATGACCAAAAAAAAAAAAGAACTTAAGAACTTTAAATTTGGGGTTGCAGTTATAGCTTAGTGGTATAGTATATGAATAGCACACATGAGGCCCTGGATTTAAGCTCTAGCACCAAAACACTACACTCAATTTTAAAGGTGCACCCAGTGGGATTAACCATCTACACCAAGGATTTTAGCCACCCTGGAATCTAGCTTCAGTTGCATGCTGAGCTCACTCGGAACACAGGCCTTTGATTGATTCCTACCCTGTCCTTGACATATAAATAGTAGATCCTTTGAGATGTCTGTGAGGGAGTGCAGACTGACTATACCTATTCAGGTCACATATCTCCTAAGAAAGGGGGTGAGGGTCTAACTGCCCCTCTCACAGCCTAGCAATCTTCAGTTCCACCAGGACTCTGCTTTTTTGCCTGTAGGCTATAAGCCCTGGTTGACAAGGGTACTGCCTTCCTTCCCACTCCCACCCCAAGCTCAGTCCACACCTAACTCTTGTGCCTTTCCCATCATGGTGCTTTTGCCTGGAATGCTCTTGGCTAGTGCCCTCCTCCCCCTTTCCAGGCTGGTACCTGTGCTTATATTGCTTTTCTTGAAGCCCATAACCTACAAAACCAAGCTGATGATGGCTCATCTCCACCATCATACTTGATGCCCTCAGGAGAAGGGCCGTACATGAGTTGCTTTCCTCTCTGGGAGGCTCACCCATGTGGCCACACACTTGAGGGCGGTCCTAGGGTGGGCATAGGCTGGGAGCTGCCCACAGGATCCTGTACTGGTCACTCACTGCAAATGATCGCTCCTGTGAACAACTCACTTTCCATCTTGGATAGGCTCTGGAGATCATCCGTGGCTGTCAAGGTCTGAATGTGGTGGGCTGTGACCTGGTGGAAGTGTCACCCATGTATGATCTGTCTGGTGAGTAAGCAGGAAGAATGTGATCCGTGGGTGTCGATTATATTAATCTAGTGAATAGTAGATGATAGGTCCCCTTCGAGAGCTTGTGGGACCTGCAGAGGATGTCTTTCTGACACTGAGGAAAATAAACTTGTTAGTGCACACCTTCCAAGCATGTGCTAATTAGCTCTGACACTCCCTGGAGAGGTAATGAGGTACTATTTATTACCTTGCCTACCAGTCAGAGGAAGAGAAAGAAATCAGTTTAGGTTTGGGGTGATAGCACTCCATCCATCCCCTTTTGCTATTTCATTGAAAAGTGAAATTTCAAAGCATGTTTATATAAAGCAGGTAGTTGATTGATTAAGATCTTCAAGCAGACCACATCACAGTAATTTTAATTTAGAAGAGCTTACATTTAGAGAGTAGACAATAAATATATATCACTACATGTCTTCCTTTTTTTTTTTTGAGGGGGTTACAACTAAGGGTATAGTGTTAGGAAAGATCAGATGGATGAGAAAAGGAGTTAAAAGACTTCAACTAAGCCAGGCACTGGTGCCTCATACCTGTAACCCTAGCTACTCAGGAGGCTGAGATCTGAGGCTCAAGATTCAAAGCCAGCCCAGGCAGGAAAGTCTGTGAGACTCTTATCTCCAATTAATCACCAGAAAACTGGAAGTGGCACAATGGCTTAAAATGGCAGAGCACCAGCCTTGAGCAAAAGAACTCAGGGACAGTGCCAAGGTGCTGAGTTCAAGCCCCACAACTGACAGGAAAAAAAAGAAAAGAAAGACCTGAATAGATCGGAACAGGTTTTAACCAGTGCTGAAGAGGGACTCATGTAACAGAAAGAGGCATCAGAGAGACAAGGCCTGGAGAACATGGGGCTTTTGGTATTTAAGTATATTCACATAAGGCCAGAGGTGAAGCTTGAATGGGATTAGCTGGTAAGATTCTGGGGAGGAGAATTCTGGAAGGTGTGTGTATGGGGTGGGGGGGGTGTCAATGGGCCATGCCACAGGAGCAACATTGAGTTTTGGGAACAAACAGAGGCTCACCACAAACAACCCTTAATTTTTCAAATACTATCTCTAAATGGTGCTTGGTGGTGGCAGAATGCAGGGGGAGAGGAGGGCGGGATGCTCTGTGGTTGGGAGTCAGCGTTGGGAGGCCCAGAGCAGGGGCTGAGGAGTCTGGAAGCCTGGGCCCTTGGGTGTGAGGTCCTCCCATCATGCTTTGCTCTCTCCTTGCTAGGAAACACGGCACTGCTAGCAGCCAACCTGCTTTTTGAGATGCTGTGTGTTCTTCCTAAAGTGACCACGGCTTGAGTCTGTGCCCTTCAAGACAAAGCGGATTGTACTGCTGACACCGTCCCAAGAAGTGATAAGCAAGCAGTCTGTACTAAAGCATTTATGCCAATAAAGCTTTCTACTAAAAGTGTCCTTGATGGCTATAAAATAAGGACACTCTGAACTCTAACCCGAGCAACTAACATTTCTAGGAGTCTGAATTGCTTAAAATAGTGAAGCACTTCCGTGGCTTCAATTTTTTTTCCTTCCTTTGATGGAAGATAGCAGAGGATAACGGAGGAAGGGATGGAGAATTTCATTCAAGGGTCTCTCAAAATCAGAGGAATAAAATTTGTAAAAAAAATCTGTAATACTGTACAATAATATATTTGTACAGTAATACTGTACAAATATCCCATAATTCTGTATCGTTCTTTAAAATGTAGCTTCTCAGCTGGGCGTTGGAGATTCATGCCTGTGATCCTAGCTACTCAAGAGTCTGAGATCTGAAGATTGCAGTTTGAAGCCAGCCTAGACAGGAAAGTCCATGACTTTTCTTTTTGCCAGTCCTGGGGCTTGAACTCAGGGCCTGGACACTGTCCCTGATATTCCTTTGCTCAAGGTTAGCACTCTACCACCTGAGCCACAGCGCCACTTATGACTGTTTATGTGGTAATGAGGAATTGAACCCAGGGCTTCATCCATGCTAAGGCAAGTAAGCACTCTACCAGTAAGCCACATTCCCAGTCCCGAGAATTTAATCTCCAATAAACCACCAAAAAGCTGGAAGTGGAGATGTGGCTCAAGTGGTAGAGTACCAGCAGAAAAGCTAAGGGGCAGTGCCCATGCCCTGAGTTAAGTCCCAGGACCAGCACCAAAACAAAACAAAACAACAGCTCCTCTTCTGAGGAATTCATGGCTATATCTTGGTCTTAGAAGCATGTGAGCATAAGTCAGTGTAAAAGAAAATAGGGGAGGGGCTGGGAAGGTGGCTCAGTAGTAGAGCGCTTGCCTTGCATGCCTGAGGTCCTGGGTTCGATTCCTCAGCACCACAAAAGCAAAAAGAAAAAAGCCAGAAGTGGCGCTGTGGCTCAAGGGGTAGAGCGTTGCTCAAGTGGTAGAGTGCTAGCCTTGAGCTGAAGAGCTGAGGGACAGTGCCCAGGCCCAGAGTTCAGGCCCCATGACCAACAAAAAAAAAGAACAACAAAAAAAAAAGAAGGCAAAAATGCTCGACGGGAAATGTACTCGGTACCTTGCTCATGAAACTGTAACCGCTCTACGGTATTTTTACAATAAAAAACATACAAAATAAAAGAAAAGAAAATAGCATAGGGCTGGGAATGTGGCTCAGTGGTAGAATGCCTGCTTAGCATGCATGAAGCCCTGGGTTCAATTCCTCAGTACCACATACAACAGAAAAAGCTGGAAGTGGTGCTGTGGTTCCAGTGGTAAAGTGCTAGCCTTGAGCAAAAGCAGCTCAGGAACAGTGCCCAGGACCTGAGTTCAAGCCCCAGGATTGGCAAAAAAAAGAAAATAGCGCAGCCCAGCACCAGTGGTTCACACCTATAATCCTAGCTACTCAGGAAGCTGAGATCTGAGGATTGAGGTTCAAAGCCAGCCCAGGAAAGTCCATGAGACTCTTATCTCCAATTAACCACCAGGAAACCAGAAGTGGTGCTGTGGCTCAAGTGGTAGAGCATTTGCCTTGAGCTGAAGAGCTCAGGGACAACACCCAGGCTGAGTTCAAACCCCACAATCGACCAAAAAAAGAAAAAAAAGAAAAGAAAATAGCATGCAGATCCCTGTAAGAAACTTTCTGCTCAGCCCAGCAGTGCATGGAGTGCCTTTAGCACCTGGCAGAACCTTAATGAGACGTCTAATCCAACCCTGTAAGACTGTTTTCCATCATCTACTCTCCAAGCCACCACTTTCCCTTTGTGGATAACCCTTTCCAAAACTGTTGTGCTGACTGTAAGCATGTGTAGTATTACACATTGGTTCAGTTTTATGGATGATGCATCTGATCAAATTATCTTCACGCGACGCAAGAGCTAGCCCATAGTCATCACACATTAAAATAGTTTATTTGTTTCCAGTCCATAATATTCTTAAAACAAAATAACATCAGCTTCAGTGCTTTTCACAATACAAAAAAATAAAACTCAAAACAAAAAAACTGAAAGAAAATCCTCAAACATAAAAAAAGACAATTTGCCAAATTAAGTTACTCCTAAGAGTATCAAAAGTGCAAAATCTAGTCACCTTCTTCTCAGATGTGTGTTCCAAGTGCAGTCCTCTCTCCTAGCCAGCTGAGGCCGAGGCAGCAGCCATGACACTTGTGTGTATTCTCCAGGGCCTTGGGCAGGAACTACATTTCTTCGACACCAACTTTTATTATTTTATTGTTGTGGTGCTAAGGCTCAAACCCAGGGTCCCAAGAATGCTAGGAAAGTGTGCCACCACGGAGCTACATCTCCAGCCCCTGTATCTACTTTTAAGGACTCCTACTTTATTATTAATCTTCCAATGGAACGCAGGGCCTTATACATGCTAGACCAGCACTCTGCCTGAGCTACATCCTCTAGCCTGGGATTTTACTTTGGGAAAACAAACAAAAAGTTTCAGTGTTTACTTCTGATCCCTATTGCCAGACAAAGCAAGCCACTTAAAAGTACAGTCTGGGGCTGAGGTGTCTCAGTGGTAGGGTGCTTGCCTTGCATGCATGAGGCCCTGGGTTCGATTCCTCAGCACCACATAAGCAAAAAGAAAAAAGCCAGAAGTAGTGCTGTGGCTCAAGTGGTAGAGCACTATCCTTGAGCTGAAGAGCTGAGGGACAGCACCCAGGCCCAGAGTTCAGGCCCCACAACCAACCAAAACAAAAGAAAGCACAGTCTGGCCCTATTTCTTTTTTGTGTGTGTGCTAGTCCTGGGACTTGAACTCAGGGCCTGGGCGTAACCTCTCCACTTATTCACTCAAGGCTGGCATTCTTACCACTTGAACCACAGCTCCACTTCTGTCTTTTTTTGTGGTTAAGTGGAGATAAGATACCCTGGGTTGACTTTGAATATTGATCCTCAGATCTCAGCCTCCTGAGTAGCTAGGATTACAGGCATAAGCCACAGGTACTTGGCTCCCTGTTTCTTTCTTTTCTTTCTGTCATTCATGGGGCTTGAACTCTGGGCCTAGGAGCTGTCCCTCAGCATCTCCGCTCAAGGCTAGCACTTTACCACTTGAGCCACTTCCCGTTTTCTGGTGGTTTATTGGAGATAAGTCTCATGGACTTTTCTGGGCTGGCTTTGAACTGTGATCCTCAGATTTCAGCTTCCTGAGTAGCTAGGATTACAGGCGTGAACTACTGGCACCTGGCTCCCTATGGGGGAAAAAAAAAAAAAACTATGTATGGAGGAGAGTTACAAATTCTTTAGAATGGCAATAAATAAGAGGCTATGAGGATGAAGAGGCTGTGGATGACAAGAGCAACTCATGGAAACTATGACCAAGTTGTCTGTGGTAGCCATGTTGGGAGGAGAGAGTAAGGTATCTTCTAGAACGCAGGATGTCCTGCTCATTGAAATGCTGCTCAGGGCCCACAACCTCTGAGTGAGACAAACTGTGCAACAATACCTGTGCAATCACAAAAGCATCTTTTGATGCGGGCATGGATTTTACTAAGACTAGCTTTAGGTCAGTGTTCACTCAGCTACTAAACATGATACGTCAATAGACGAAGACCAAGGATTTAAAACCAAAGTTGGGTCCTGTATGATTACAGAAATCAGGAGAAATGCTGGCATTGGCTGAGCATGGTTTGGCTCACATTTGACACAGAAGTAAACAAATACCCGGAAACAACATTCAGGAGAACAGGCTGAGGTGGCAGTGTATGCCAGGAATTCTAGCACTCGAGAGGCTGAGACAGAAGGATGGTGAGCTTGAGGCCAGCCTGCGCTGCACAGTGAGACCCTCTCACAAACCCCAAAATTAGAACAGCAAAGCTCCCAAGTGTCCCCTGGGGGCACATGTCTATTAGTCCCTAAATAGGTGTGTGCTGAGTTTGTGCTGACAAGAATATTGTCAATTCTATCACCACCATCCTCTTGGGTAAACAGAAGGGGTAGCTTTTTTCTTTTGGCTACAAACTTAAAAAAAACAATCTGGGAAAAGTTTTGGTTTTCAGAAATTATAAGTCAGAAAGTTCATTAGTACCAAAGATTTAAAATACAAACCTACCACTGAACCAAAACTACTCAAGAGCAGCTTGACCATTAACAACCAGAATATATATATCAACTACCTTATTACTTTTTTTAGAGGGGAGAGGGGGACTGGAACTCAAGGCTGGATATGCTCAGCCACTCAACTATATCTGCAGCCTTCAGGAAATAATTTTCAAGTCTGCATATGGAGGGCCCAGTGGACTTTACTGTTTCTACCTGAGCCAGGGACCCTGACTTGCGGCACCAGAGTCAGCGTCCATGTTCAGAGGACCAATGAAGAATGAAGCCTGGCAGTGATTTTTTTTTTTGTTTTTTAAAATTATTTTTTTAATAAAGCTATAGATTTGATGAAAACTACAGGAATTCTTGGGTTCAAAATGATTTTACCACTTAACCACTGTAGCTTGATGTTCAAATGATTAGGATCCGAGTGGCTTTGTTGAGAAAGCGATTATGATTAAAGAAATAGTAACTTCATCAATGTCCCATCCCTGATTTGTGCCCTTCACCTTGTGAAAGGGTATTTGCTGTGACAGTAAAACAAGACCACTTTTGTAAGTTGTCCAAACTTGCTGGTGGTCTGGTGCTAAAAACAGAGTGCCCTCTAGTGGGGCTGTCATGACTGGCTGGAGCCCAGGGTACTGAGGGCACAGCCCACCTTAGAGCTGGGGGAGCTGATGATGGGTGTGACCTGACACTGGGAACGGCGTGTAAGGGAGAGGTGAATCAGTGAAGTCGGGACACCAAAACACGGGCCACAAGTGGAAAGGGAGCAGTGTTCAAAATGGAGTCTAGAATGAGTCTTGACTCATCTGTCATTAAAAACAACAACAACGAAAACCAAAATGACTTGTAGATACAGCACTTTGGGGATGACGATGTTCAAAATGCAACTGTTGAGAGAGTTTAAGTTCCTTGGTACAAAGATGCATCTGGCATTTCACTAGAAAGACACCAGGGAACCAGGAGGCTTCACCCGGCTCCAGGCAGGCAGGAAGAACTTGTCTTCGGTTTAACATCTACTGGCTTTATAGCAGCTTATTTATCTACGTTCAGAGAACAAGATTACAAGTTATGGCTCCTAAATATCCATACCCTAAAATTGATGGAGGCAGAAAGGCATCTGAAACATACAGGCCAGTGGCTCAGTCTTACAGTACATCTGGTGGGCAGGCCCCATCCCCTGGCTCGGGTGGCCAGTGGGCCGTGGGGAGGCCACCCACAATTCCAGGAGAGCCTCCCAGCAGTCCCTTCCCTCTACGTAGGAAGAAAGTCAGCTCATCTGCAGAGCCCCCGCTCACTCTTTTCTTTGCAAAGCCGTGCCTGGCAAACTTGTGGGGGATACCCCCAAAATACATTTCTCAGCTGCTCGCTCCCAGAACAACCACCCCACCAGACTGATTGTGTGGAGCTAGGCTGCTTTCAGGACTTGGGGCCCTGTGGCTGCAGTGGGCCATTCCCTGGTAGGAGCATGCGCCGTGACAGAGGTAAAGGCCAGGACCAGGCTGTGGCCTGGGGTGGGGGTGGGAGGTAAGGCCTATGATCCCACCTGACCTGCACTACAGGTAGGTCCTGCTCAGGGTCAGGCCCTCCACCATATGGGACAGGATGGGGCAGGAGGGGAGTGGGAGCCCGGGACAGGGCTGGCAGAGTGGAAGGAACGAGCAGTCTATTTTAAATAGTGTGGCATTCAGATGAGGACAGGGGAACCCAAAGGCAAGTGTTCTTATTTAGGGAATTCAAACCTGTCCTAGGTGAGGGCAGGGCAGAGGAAGAATCTTCTAGGCATTGTTCTGAAGAGTAATCCTAAATCTCTACTCTGTTCAGTGAGATAGCTTGAGTCCTGAAAATACCTGTTTCCTGGGGCATGTTAAAAATCAGAGGAGTTCGCATCTCTTTTAGAAATCGACTCAGTCTAGTTCTGGCCACGATGGGATATAAAACCTCTGTAAGGATCCTTCTAGCAGCCGCTCCATCCACAAGGACAGCTTGCTCAACTTGCCTTTGATGGGCTTGGACCCCACGCAGGAAGACTTCCCCCGAGACTCGCCCAGGTGGAGGGAGGAGTCCAGATCGCTGCTCACCCCCATGGCCTCTTCCTCTTCCATTGTTTTTTGGGGCTTGAAAAGGCAGAAATATTTCTTATGGCCATTCAGAGCTAGTACATAACCTGTGTAGTCCCGCTCCATGAAATGCTTGTCGTACTGGTTTGGGATGGGGGCTGCATCTTGAGCAAATTCCAGCAAGTACTCCAGCCATTCCCGGTGTTTGTCCAGGCTCAGGAAGGAGAAGTGCAGGCAGCTGCTCCTGCAGGGGGGACACAAGGGGTCAGGGCCTGACGCTCCTCATCAGGTGATCAATACTCCACATAGACGGGAAACAGGGAAAGGCTGTGTCAGTGGGGCCCAAGGACGTCTGTGTGTGTGTGTGTGTGCACGCGCACGTGTGTGCATGCATGCAAGGTCTGGAATAGCCATATCACCCCTCTCCTGGGCAACACCCATGCACTAGAATCCTGTCAAACTCAGAGCACAGAAGTAGCAAAGCTCAGCCCTATTAGAGGCTCATACAGGGACATGAATTCAATCTCTTCAGTTCAGAACCAACAAAACATGAATCAAAGGGGAAAAGAAGTCTTTCCCAGGAGCCAGGCACTAGTGGCTCATGACTGTAATCCTATCTCCTCAGGAGGCTGGTTTCTGAGGACCACAGTTCAAAGCCAGTCTTGGAAGGTATGTCCATGAGACTCTTATCTCCCATTAATTACTGTGGCTCAAGTGGCAGATCACCATCTTTGAGCTAAAAAGCTGAGGGACAGTACCCAGGCCAAGTTCAAGCCAGGCACACACCCAAAGTCCCCCATGATGGCTTAGGAGTAGACACTGGGAGAACCCAGCCAACGTCTTGCTCCATGGGAGGTGCTGCGTGGCCAGAGAGGGTGCAAGGGTCTAGCAGCACCCCTCTCCCAAGTGGCCTCCTCCCTCCCCCTTCCTTTCTCACACCAGGGCACATACGGGTACCTACCCAGTGAATGAGTAGACCTCGAAAGCAAATTTCTGCAGCAGGCTGTTCTTGGTGGAGGCCGACAGGATGAGGACCACGTTCATGTGGCCAGGCCTCAGGCGCACCAGGTTGCTGGTGTACGTCACATCTGTGAGTTCAGTGACCTCCACGAAGCCTTTCTTAGGAATCCTGCTGTGGAGAAATGTGGGGGAGGTAAGGATGACCACAGTGGGAAGGCAGAGGAAGGGGAGGGCAGGAGAGGTGGGGGGGGACAAACAACACCTCTACTTTAGAGACGCTGTGTTCTGACCAGACTGGGAAAGCTACTTAACACTGTCTACCGCATTTGTAGTATGGGGTGCAAGATTCAATGGGGGACCCTGACTTGAAACAGCCTTTCTGATATGGTTTCCAGCGGTGCAAGGCTGCTTTAGGACAAAATGAAGGAGGCATGGCCCCTCAGCCCGATTCTTTGTCTACTCAGTCCCTCACTGGGGAGCCATCTAGAGTCATGAGTTAGGACTCCTGCTTCTGGCTCATCCACCACCTCCCTCATGTGCTTTCCCCTTCCTGCCTTCACTAGTCAATTTGAGATCAAGAAACACATGTCATGGATGTAAAAGATGAAATCCCAGCTCTGTTCACAACCTGTCTCACAACCTGTCCCATGAGGTCCAGGTCTAGAACCATCTATTTGTGACCACATGTTGTCACAGTGGCATTTTTTACCCGTGACTTTTTACAAGTTTTGCATGGTGCATCATTCTAGATGCAGGATTTTTAAATTAGGGATGCTCAACCTGTATCTAGCTCTCACACACAGGGGGAGGCAGCTTCTATGCTGCCCACAGGCCCTGCTGTCAGGCTGTGCAGGCTGGGCATCATGGCAGGGGCTGAGGGCAGTGGAGGGTGCCATGTGTCAGGAAAACCTGCTGAGGTCTTTGGTGAAGCTCGGCTCTGTCTTCCCGGTCTTCTCAGGGACTTCCTCTTTTTCTGGGGGCTGGGACTCCTGCTCCTCATTCGAGTCACTGAGGAATGTAAAAAGGAGTATTTCAGAGAAAGAGGATGGAGCTGGTGCCAGTGACTCACTCACCCCTACATCACAGATACCCATGACACTGAGATCTGACAATTATCGCTTGAAGCCAGCCTGGGGAGAAATGTCCAAAAGACTCTATCACTAATGAGCAAAAAGTTGGGCTGGAGGCATTGCTCAAATAGTAAGAGTACCAGCTAAGGAGCAAGAAAGCCAAGTTAGAGTGCAAGGTCTTAAATTTAAGCCATGGTATCAGGAGGAAAGGAAAGTATGAATGACTGTGAAGGTTTGAGGCACTTACCTGAAAGCCTGGACGATGACAGTGCCAAAGAGGATGAAGAGGGCTGAGAAGATGAGTGACAGCAGGGGCATCATCTCCCGCCTGGAACAAGCACACCGCTGCGTTAGCGCCTCAGGGGCTGGGAGTTAAGAAGCTTGTACATCAATAAACAATGCCCCCTAAACAGGCTACTTTGGGATGGTGAAGGGGAGGCAGACTTTCCTTAGGGTTCTAACCACAGTCCTGATCCCAGAAGTCTAGTTTTGCATGTTGGCATTATCAGAGTGAGCTGCCCATGTGGTAAGACGGGTCACAAGGCAGTTATACTCTACTCATGGACCAACCTCCTCATGCTGGGGAAGCACTGAACAACATTCTGGTGAATGAATTCAGTTTCACTGATTTTCTTATTTGGGGCAGTATGGGGGATTGAACTCAGGGCCTCACGCTTGCTAGGCAGGTGTTCCTCCACTTGAGCCATCCTTCTAGCCCTTTTTTGGACAGTATCATCCAGAAATGGCACAGAATAGTGGAGCAGGGAACAGAGGGGTGAAAGTCAAGCTTTCAAAATTTCCTATATAGGGGCTGGGAAGGTGGCTCAGTGGTAGAGTGCTTGCCTTGCATGCATGAGGCCTTGGGTTCGATTCCTCAGTACCACATAAACAGAAAAATCCAGAAGTGGCACTGTGGCTCAAGTGGTAGAACACCAACCTTGAGCTGAAGAGCTGAGGGACAGCACCCAGGCCCAGATTTCAAGCCCCATGACCAAAAAAAAAAAAATCCTATATAATTGTTTTAGTTTATGTTATTCATCTTACTTTATGCCAGTACTGGGGCTTGGACTCTGGGCCTGGAAGTTGCACTTGACTTTTTTACTCAAGGCTGGTGATCTACAACTTGAACCTCGGCTTCATTTATGGCTTTTAGCTGGTTAATTGGAAATAAGTCTCTGTCACAGACTTTCCTGCCTGATCCTCAGATCTCAGCCTCCTGCGTAGCTAGGATTACAAGCATGGGCCACTGAAGCCTAGCTCCTGTCTTTCCACTTCCCTCCCTTCCTTGCTTCCTTCCTTTTGTCGGTTGTGGGGCTTGAACTCTAGGCCTGGGCACTGTCCCTTAGCTCTTTAGCTCAAGGCGAGTGCTGTACCACTTGAGCCACAGTGCCACTTCTGTTTTCTGGTGGATAATTGGAGATAAGAGCATTACAGACTTTCCTTCCCAGGCTGGTTTTGAACTGAGATCCTCAGATCTCAGCCTCCTGAGTAGCTGGGATTACAGGCATGAGCCATTGGTGCCCAGCCCAAGTTTTGCTTTCTAGAAGTCCAGGTGGGGTACAGCTGGGGTACCCTTCCCCAACCTGCAGGAAGGAATAGTCATTGACTATAAAGCAATTCCTGCTACATGGGAGACACACAAAGATGACTATGGGCCAACCCTAGCCCTGGGTAAAAAAAAGTACAAGCCGGGTGCTGGTGGCTCACACCTGTAATCCTAGCTACTCAGGAGGCTGAGATCTGCAGATCGTGGTTCAAAGCCAGCCCAGGCAGGAGAGACCGTGACACTCTTATCTCCAATAATCCACCAGAAAACCGGAAATGGCGCTGTAGCTCAAGTGGTAGAGCGCTCGCCTTGAGTTGAAGAGCTGAGGGACAGCGCCCAGGCCCAGAGTTCAAGCCCCACGACCGACAAAGAAAAAAAAAAAAAGTACAGGACTAAAGCTAGGTGCTGGTGGCTTACACCTGTGATCATAGTTACTTAGGAAGCAGAGACCTGAGGATTATGGTTCAAAACCAGCCTAGGCAGGAATGTCTATGAGATTTTTTTCTTTTGTTGTGGAACTTGAACTCAGGGCCTGGATGCTGTCCCTGAGCTCCTTTTGCTCAAGGCTAGCATTCTATCACTTTGAGTCACAGCTTCACTTCAGGTTTTCTCGTGGTTAACTGGAGATAAGTCTCATGGACTGGCGGGCACCAGAGGCTCACGTTTGTAACCTTAGCTATTCAAGAGGCTGAAATCTGAGGATCGCGGTTCAAAGCCAGCCTGGGCAGGAAAGTCCATGAAACTTTTTTTTTGTTGGTCATGGGGCCTGAACTCTGGGCCTAGGCGCTGTCCCTCAGGTCTTAGCTCAAGGCTAGCACTCTCCCACTTGATCCACAGTACCACTTCCAGCTTTTTCTGCTTATGTGGTGCTGAGGAATCGAACCTAAGGCCTCATGCATGCGAGGCAAGCACTCTACCACTGAGCCACCTTTCCAGCCCCAGTCCATGAAACTCTTATCTCCAATAAACTACCAGAAAACTGGAAGTGGCGCTGTAGCTCAAGTGGTAGAGTTCTAGCCTTGAGCTGAAGAACTGAGGGACAGCGCTCAGGCCCAGAGTTCAAGCCACACGACCGACCAAAAAAAAAAAAAAAAAAGAGTCTCATGGACTTTCCTTCCCAGGCTGGCTTTGGTTCACAAATCTCCTATGAGATTCTTATCTCCAATTAACCAGCAGAAGTAGAGCTGTGGCTCAAGCAATAGCCTGATAACCTTTAGTGAAAAAGCCAAGGAGTGGTACCCAGACCCTGTAAGACCCAGAACTAGAGGTGGACAGTGGTGACTCATGCCTGTAACCTGGCTATTCAGGAGGCTGAGATCTGAGGATTGATATTTGAAGCCAGACCAGGCAGGAAAGTATGTGAGACTCTGATCTTCAATTAACCACCAGAAAACCAGAAGTGGTATGGTGGGTAGAGTGCTACCCTTGAGCTGAAGAGCTGAGGGACAGCGCCCAGGCCCAGAGTTTAAGCTCCATGACTGACCAAAAAAAAAAAAAAAAAGGTCCAGAACTAGCACAAAAGAAAGAAGAAAAGTAAAAAACATGAGACTGAAAAAATAACATAAAGCAAAAAGGACTAAAAGGTGTGTTCCAAGTAGCAAACACTTGCCTACTAAGTGTGTGAGGCCCTGAATTCAAACTCTCTACTACCAAAAAAAAAAACAAAGTCCAATTAAATTACTGAAAGAGAGCAGCTGTTGGAAATGTACCATCAGTTTCCCACTGACATCTACAGGATGGGCTCTTCCCAAAAGATAAATGATAAGGCTGAAATCAACTGAGAAAGCAACCCTCGCTAGCTATCTTCCTACCAGTTGTTGTGAAACACGCTATCCCAGATGTCTTCGAGGTAGTCTGAGGCAGAGTAGAACCACCGCAAGAGGAACATCTGTCGGGAGAGAAAGTGAGACGGTCAGTCAGGACTGAATGCAGAGGGAGAGCTTCAGCCTGACACAGAACTGTCAGCAGAGCCCGGCGGCCAGCCTCCCCTCCGAGATCTGAGGCCAGGATGCTCACGGGGGCAAGCTCATCCATCAACTCTGGAAGCACAGCCTCTGAGGACAGAAGGGCTGGATCTTTCCGCAGCTGGTCAAGGTAACCCAGAAGGACAAATCTGTCACTTTCACTCCCGGTCCAGGGGTCTTCCAGCGTTTTATATACCACCCTTCCAGCTGTGTTGCGCCTTTCTAATATAGACACCTGTGAGAACAGAAGAAAACCATCACAAATCTCAAAAGCAGCCAGGTGTGCTAGCACATCCCTGTAATCCTAGCAATTGGCAGTTGGGAGGATCACAGGTTCAAGGCCAGCCTGGACTGCATAGGTAGACTGCTTCATAAAAATAAAAGCCCTCCAAAACCCAAAAACCAAAAGAGAAGCCTCAAAAGTATGCTATAGCTATTTAGAAATCAGCAATATGCTCAAATGTAAATGTTAGGGAGAGCCAGGCGCTGGTGGCTCATGCCTGTAATCCTAGCTACTCAGGAGGCTGAGATCTGAGGATCGCGGTTCAAAGCCAGCCCGGACAGGAAAGACCGTGAGACTCCTATCTCCAATAAACCACCAGAAAACCAAAAGTGGCGCTGTAGCTCAAGTGGTAGAGTGCTCGCCTTGAGCTGAAGAGCTGAGGGACAGTGCCCAGGCCCAGAGTTCAAACCCCACGACCGACAAAAAAATAAAATAAAATAAAATAAATGTTAGGGAGACTAATACTTGCAGAGACTAAAATATTTTTTCTTTTTTAGGGGGCAGAACTGAGGTTTGAACTCAGGGCCTTGTGCTTGCTAGGCAGGTGCTCTACCACCTGAACCATATCCCCAACACTGATTGAAAAATTTCTGACAGAAGAAATTAATATTACTGTTTAATGAGATAGAGTCTCATTAAGTTGCTCAGTGTGGTGTTGAATTCCTAGGGTCAAGAGATCCTTTGGTCCTGAAAGCAATTACTTTTAAGGCCTTTTTTTTTGGTTAGTCATGGGGCCTGGGCACTGTCCCTGAGCTCTTCAGCTCAAGGCAAGTACTCTACCACTTGAGCCACAGCACCACGTTCAGTTTTTTGGTGGTTTATTGGAGATAAGAGTCTCACAGACTTTCTTGCCCAGGCTGGCTTTGAACCGTGATGCTCAGATCTCAGCCTCCTGAGTAGCTAGGATTACAAGTGTGAGCCACAGGGGCCTAGCAAGGCCTTCCCCCACCTCACCCCCAAAACACTTTGTTCTTTAACTTCTGACTTAATGTGGATTTTTCAAGAAAGGAAGCCTTTGTGGTTTTTTGGTTGTGGTGCTTGAACTCTGGGCCTGGGCTCTGTCCCTCAGCTCTTCAGCTCAAGGCAAGCACTCTACTACTTGAGCCACAGTGCCACTGTGGAACAGAGGGCCAGGGTCTTGAAAAGAGCACAGGGTCAGGAGAATTAGGGCTCACCGCTGACTTCCCCTGAAATGCCTCACTGTTGGGGAGCAGGGTGCTGGCGAATTCCTGCTGCCGGCCACTGTACACGTGCACAAATCTCACTGTGTCTTGTGTGTTTGCCAAGGCGAAGGACAGGAAGGCCTCAAAGGCTTTGCTCATCTTGGTGGCCTCTGCAGTCAGCAAGACCACACAGTACCTGCACAAGCAAAAGAGAGCAGGTTACACCCAATCTTGGGACAGGCCCAGGATGCAGAAGGCCAGTGGAGAGAAGAAGGGGAGACCCATCCCATTGTACAGACTGCCAGTGAAAGCTGTCATATATAGTGGATGGAAAGGAGACTCCGAACTTACCAGTGACCCTCTCCTTTTCCCGAATGCTGGTGTTCCCCCAAACCCAACTCCAGCTTGGCCTTTAGGACTTTCTTTTAAGGGGCTTTTTGTGTTACTGAAGGTCCACTTCCTTTGCGAGTCTTATTAGGAGTGGTTTTTTTTTTTTCTTATGTGGTGCTGGGGAATTGAACCCAGGGCCTCATGCATGCAAGGCAAGTGCTCTACCACTGAGCCACCTTCTCAGCCCCTGCGAGTCATATTGGAAGCTTAGTCATTCATTCATTCATTCATTCATCCATCCATCTATGCAACCAAATACTTATCAAGTACTTACTATATGCCAAAACTTACTCTAGACACTTACTATATAAAATAGACTGCATTCCTGCCTTTGTGGAAGTCAGTCTAGAGAAGAAGCTAGGTGTTAAATAAATAAATGGCTATCTCCTAATAGCTAACCACAGTGCTATGACAAAAACAAGAGGAGGAAGAAGAGAGAGGCCAGTGTGGGTGGGAATCATATTTTGACAGACAGATTGGTCAGGGAAATGTGGAGCAGAGACCTGAATTAATGAGTCACGAGAGCATAGACTGGCCTGAACGAGGCCCTTCAGAGATTACAGGTGTGTGCTGCTGGCGACTGCTGGTCCAGATATCCTTTATGTATGACATAGCCATAAGTTGAGAACCCCTAATCCATCAGTCTGAGAAGGTACAATAAATGTTTCCCTGTATTTCCAGGCTTTTCAAAGACTGTGTAATAATACTTTGTACTGAATATGTATGCCTTGACCTTTCCAATTCCCCATTGTTATTTATCATGTCCTCAGTGATCTCCCTTTCCTGGATCCTCTGCAAGACTCGCAGAGGCTCAGCATGAGTGAAATGCTGTAGCAGGGATAGCTGTCACTCCAGGCTTTACCAACCAAGCCTTCTGTACTCTGAAGACTCTGATGATCTGCATCTCGATGGCCTCTCTAATGCCAGGCTTGATCATTCAACAATTTGGACCTATCTACCCCTAACCTCTCAGTCAGCCATTACTCAGTGGCTGAGGAATCAACTGGATCCCAGGGTGATGCTGAACTGTCCTTTAGGGGTAGGCCCTGTACTGGGCCTAGCTCTGTGTTCTTACTTCCTCTGTCGGTGAGAGCGCTTCACGGGGCAGAGTTCATGGAAGAGCTTCTGGCTGGTGAGACGGGCTGCCAATAAGTACTTGTTCTGGGTGATGAAGTCATCAATGACATGCTTCTTTAGCCCGCGCGCCTGCAGGGAAACCAAGAAAAATCAAGAAGCTCTTGTCCCTCCACGATGTAGAAACAGCCCATGGGAATGCATTTTGCCTCCATTCTTACTAAAAATAATGACACATCAACCATATAGCCAAGTAAGGGAATGCTTGTACTTGCTTGTACTTAATTAAATCAAAACACTTACCTGTATTTGGAAATTAAGAAGGATATTTTGAATAAGCCACTGATCTAAGAAGTAGGTTTTCTAACACTGGATAGGTTTTTGATTCATTCACTCATCCAAACCCTGAGTACTTACCAGATAAATACCATTCATCAAGCTTTGAGATACAGAGGTAGTAGCACTTGGAGGTTAATCTTAAAATAATATTGAGCTATATGGAGTTGTGGTCCCAGTTACTTGGGGACTGAGGTGCCAGGACAGCTAGAGTCCAGGAATTCAATGCCTGATTGGATAAAATAGTGAGACTTTGTTCCAAAAAACAGCCACAATTAAAAATTAATTAGTAAAGCTGCGTACTGGTGGCTCACACCTGTAATCCTAGCTACTCAGGAGACTGAGGTCTGGGGATCATGGTTTGAATCCAGACTGGTCAGGAAATGTGAGATTTTTATCTCCAATAAATCACAGAAAATGCCAGAAGTGGTGCTGTGGTAGACCACTAGCCTTGAGCTGAAGAACTGAGGGAAAGCACCCCGGCCCAGAGTTCAGGCCTCACGACTGGCAAAAACAAAACAAAACAAGAAGCTCAAGTACAGTGCCCAGGCCCTAAGTTCAAGCCCCTAGACTAGCCAAAAAAAAAAGAAAGAAAAAGAAATACAAGAAACTATTATCAAGGAATGGCTCGCAAATGTTGCTGGAGTTGGAAGAAAAAGTTACTTTAATTTGAAAAATTAGATAGGAGTAATTTCTAAAAAATATATAAATCTGAAAAAAAAGAAAAACTTGTTACAGTTACGTAATGATAAAAGTAATCACAAAGTCTTTCCTTAAGACTCAAGTTTTCAGGCTAGGAATCTGGCTGAGTTCAAACCCAAGAACTGGCCAAAAAAAAAAAAAAAAAAGATCAGTTTTTGCCCAGACTAGCCGACAGCGATTCTCATAGTTACAGTTCCCCTGTAGCTGGAGTGACACATATATACTGCCATGACCTGTGTATTGGTTGGGGTAGGATCTCATGAACTTTTTGCCTGAGCTGGCCTTGAACTTCAATCATCCTGATCTCCACTTCTCACATAGCTGGGGTGATAAGTCAAAGTCAATATTTAAAAATCAATTGCAGGGGGCTGGGAAGTTGGCTCAGTGGTAGAATGTTTGCCTCACATGAATGAGGCCCTGGGTTTTAGCACCACATAAGCAGAAAAAAAAATGCTGGAAGTGGCACCGTGGCTCAAGTGATAGGGTGCTAGCCTTAAGCTGAAAAGCTGAGGGACAGCGCCCAGGCCCAAAGTTCAGGCCCCACAACCGACAAAAAAAAAAAAAAAATCAATTGCAGAGCTGGGAATGTGGCTTAGTGGTAGAGTGCTTGCCTACCATGCAAGAAGCCTTGGGTTTGATTCTTTAGTACACATAAACACAGAAATCTGTAAGTGGACTATGGCTCAAGTGGTAGCATGCTAGCCTTAAGAGAAAAAAATATCAGTTGCATTACTTTACCCAACAGAAAATTTAAGAGACGCTCTTTTTAATTTTGGGTCAGGTCGTGGGGCCTGAACTCTGGGCCTGGGCGCTGTCCCTCAGCTCTTCAGCTCAAGGCTAGTGCTCTACCACTTGAGCCACAGCACCACTTCCGGCTTTTTTCTTTTTGCTTATGTGGTGCTGAGGAACCGAACCCAGGGCCTCAGGCATGCAAGGCAAGCGCTCTACCACTGAGCCACCTTCCCAGCCCCAAGAGATGCTCTTTTTAGCAGTATAAAAAGATGAGGTTCCTAGAAATAGGCTGATAAAATATAATTTAATCATATCAATATGGAAGTAGTGGTGTTTTAGCTCAGTGTGCTTGCTAGGCAGAAATATGTGATGTGATGTGTGTGATGTGTGTGTGTGTGTGTGCGCGTGTGCGTGTGTTCTCGTGTGCTGGTCTCAAGGCAGCTTGAACTCAGAGCCTGGGGGCTGTCCCTGAGCTTTGGGGTTCAAAGCTAGCACTCTACCATTTGAGCCATAGCTCTACTTCTGGCTTTTTGGTGGTTAATTGGCAATGAGTCTCTTAGACTTTTCTGCTCAGGCTGGCTTTGACCTGCAATCCTCAGATCTCAGCTACCTGAATGCCATCAGCATTTAGCTGATTTTTACACAGAAACTGTAATACCTACTGAGATGTACAAATGACTTAAACAAATGGAGTAGGTACATCATGTCCACTGGATAGAAGGCCTTGATTTTTCTGCATGTCTAAGTGACTTAATGAGCTAATATAAACCCAAGTAGTTTCTTGCTTTAATTCGATGTAACCTGCTGGAATTTAAAATATATACAAAAAGAATTACCAAAGACCCAGAATAGCCAAGGTAGTGTGTGTTTGTGTGTGTGTGTGTGTTGCTTTTTGGGTTTTTTTAGAGGAACAGCTTACTCTAAGGAAAAGGAAAGAAATGTACATATTACCCCATGTGGAAGAGATAGTTGTACTGTCAAAGCTCATAGAATTCACCAATGTTATAGACCATTGATGATGACAATTTGCCTTGTGAATGTTAAAACGTGTTTGTGACTTTAAGTATCACTATCCCACAATACTGCGAAATTTGTGACATTTATGTAATCAATCTCAATAAACAATTATTTTTTTTAAAAAAGAGCTTATCCAGAGCAGGGAATGTGGCTTAGTTGTAGAGTGCTTGCCTAGCATGCATTAAGCCCTGGGTTCCATTCCTTAGTACCACATAAACAGAAAAGGCTGGAGGGGCTGGGAAGGTGGCTCAGTGGTAGCGTGCTTGCTTTGCATGCATGAGGCCCTGGGTTCGATTCCTCAATACCACATAAGCAGAAAAAGCTGGAAGTGGCGCTGTGGTTCAAGTGATAAGAGTGGTAGCCCTGAGCACCAAGAGGCTCAGGGACAGAGCCCAGGCACTAAGTTCAAGCCCTAGGATGTCCAAAAAAAGAGAGATCTTGTCCAAAAGCTAAATCACACTGAACAGATTTTTTCCTATCAGATATCACAACTATTTCCGAATGACTAAAAAGTCATCCCCAGCAATATAGGAAAGCAAAAGGAAGATCAGTCCAGATTGACCTGGCATTAAGCGAAACCTTGAATATAACCAATGCAAAAAGGGGCTGTAGGAGTGGCTCAAGGGTAGAATGCCTAACAAAAGTGAGGCCCTGTTAGCACAAAAGCTTAGGGACAGTAAAGCCCCATGACCAATAAAAACAACAATAAAAAACCAGAAGAAGTAATGGGGAAAATTCTGGTTTCATATACAACACTAAAAATGCCAAAAATGCCTAAGTGCATGCCTGGACTGTGATCCACCTATTTTAGGCTTCCTGTCCTAGCTGGGATTGAAAGGTGTACAATACCACTCCCAGCTTCTTCTCCTGATATGGAGCCTTGAGGACTTAGCTGCCTAGCTCGGCCTGGAACTCCCTTCTACTGATCTTAACCTTCTATGCAGCTGGGATGACAGACAGGTATCACAGCACCCAGCTACTGGTTAAAAAAGGGTCTCCTATATGCCTAGGATGCCTCTAATTACAATCCTCCCCGCTCAAGTCTCCTACGTAGCTGGGATTGCAGGAGTGAGTCACTGGCACTTGCTGCTCTGCTCATTTTACTGCTTAGTGGCATGAAGGCTTGACATACCTGGATCATGTCAGCTGGCTTGTTTATGTGCTCCTTGAAGATGAGGATGGTGGGGGCCTGGACATTGATATTGTACTGTCTTGCCATCTCCTCAGCCCCTCGAAAGCCGGCATACACATACCCAAATGATAAGTAATCTTTGTATGCAAAAGCAGTCAACTGTGAGGGAAAAAGGAGAGGAAGAAAGTAAAGTCGGTAGCATGGTACTTTATGTACAAGGAAAATAGGACCCATTTACATCCACACTGGGGTGAAGACCCACCAATATACCTCATACCCATCCAGGAGTTCTGTAGCTTTGCAGCTACAAAAACTTATAGCTACAGAGGTAAACACCACCTCATTCCTTCTTTTAGAGAGAAAGCAAAATAATCATTTACTGAACATGGGTGTGAGCCACGGAGTGTCCAGGGCATTGATGCGGGACAGTCCTCTCCCACGCATGTCACAGTACAAGGAGGTGTGCTGGAGTTGTGGTGTAGGGGTACACAGGCTGCAGGGGCGCCATGTACTCCCCACACAGCAGTGCAGCGAGACCCTGGCTACGTCGCATGGCCACTGTACACCTCTCTATGTATGCATGTGTGCCTGTCTTGGTCTAAGACCCTGTCACTCGGCGTTGACTGCTGAAGGCAGTGGAAGGACAATGAAATGTCTGGCTTTTGAGTCTTCCTCCTGTTTGAAACTCTTAGGTGCTGAGAATCTCTCATCCTGATGCTCAAGATGAAGTGTTCCCGTTTCTTAGTACACTCATAATGAGTTATCTTGGGAATGAAACCAAGTCCAAACACAAAATTCATCTGCTTCACACACACCCTGTACACATGACCTGAGGGAATCTTATACAGCATTTTCAGTGTGCCTGCATTCTGACTATGACATGAGGTCAGTCACCTATATGACTTTCTATTTATGGTACCATGTTAACACTCAGGAAACTTCAGTCTTTGGGTTTCTCTATTAGGGATGCTCAACTTCTATTTACAAAAAAGATGTTCCAACTTTCCACCAAAAAGCCCAGACCATCCTCCCAGCGTGTGAAATACCTTATAGAGCAGCGGTATTGAGGGTCCCTGGTCGAACAGAAGGACGTGGGGTTTATTTTCTTGCTGCCAGCCAGTGAGGAATCTGACATAATTTTTGCTTGTAACCTTAAATTGGAAATAAAATGTTAATTTCAGAATTTAACTCTCTCTCTCTTTTTCCTTTGCTGGTACTGGGGCTTGAACTCAGGGCTCTGAATGCTGAACTACGTGAGCCAAAGCACCACTCCTGGCTTTTTGGTGGTTAATTGGCAATAAAAGTCTCATAGATTTTACTGTGTGGGTTTTTTTTTTTGTTGGTCCTGGGGCTTGAACTCTGGGCTTGGGCACTGTCCCTGCGCTCTTCAGCTCAAGGCAAGCACTCTACCACTTGAGCCACAGTGCTACTTCCCATTTTCTAGTGGTTTACTGGAGATGAGTCTCATGGACTTTCCTGCCCGGGCTGGCTTTGAACCGAGATCCTCAGATCTCAGCCACCTGAGTAGCTAGGATTACAGGCATGAACCACTGGTGCCCAGCATATGGGTTGTTGTTGTTTTTTTTTTTTT